TTGGATCAGTTAGATCACAAAGTAGGAGAATTGAGTTCAAATCCCACCTTCTTAAAATAGACCCTTTGAGAGAGGCATTCTTTTCGTAACGTTTCAACCCAAATTATTCCATTGGTCAGGAAAAACAACTTACGATACGTTCTAAACTTTTTTCATGGTCCATTATAAGGCTCTTGGAAAATTTGGTGAACATTTTTGACGTATTTCCAAAAAATGTTGGCAACAAAATTTTCAAAAATACTATTTGTGTAATTAATACTCAATTTATTGGAAATACTATCTTTGAATCTATGTTTCCCTTTCTTTTTTTTTTTCGATTTGACTTTATGTTTCAAATAAAACAATCCGTCAATTGTATTAGGAGGTGGCGGTAATTAATTAATAATATTGATGCAATTTTCTTGTACGTCTAGTTATTTATTGCATTATTATTTGAAGAAGCTTATGTTTTCCCATTTCTTTGATCACTAATTGTTACCATCATGTTTGCGGCAGCTATAACGGTTCCTAGAGCGAACACTCAGAATACAGGGTATCCAATGTTTATGGAGAAAACATTATTTAAGGTTTTCTTAATTTCAGATGCGCTTTCCTTATTTTCTCCTCCTGCTTCTGTGCTCACATTTTTAGAAATCCTCACTTCATGCTATGCAAAAGAAGACTTCCTTTACTCACTACTTAGAAAATTGATAGTAGGTCTGTCTACACTTTTTCTGTCTATTGCAACTATGATGGTTGCCTTTTCAGTAACCATAATGATCATGTTGCAATATCACTCATCACGTTTATGGGTTATTCTTCCTGTTCCTATACTCGCTGGTGTTCCAGTAATCCTCTTTATATTATTACAATTCCCTCTGCTTGTTGAAGTATTTTCTTCTACTTATGGTCGGGGCATCTTCAAAAAGAAGGTGGAGAAGTGGCCATGAAACTGTGTGTGTAATTCACACGTCTTACCATATATGTATTATTTTCCATTGAATAAAAATTTCCCCAGTTTAACTTAATGTGTGATAAATTACCAACTCCTTTTATTTTTAGCCTAACTAAGTTAGCAATATGTGCATCAGCCTTCGCATGTTTAGAACATAAACATATATTGATCTCATCATGCCAAATAATTAATTACATTTAGCTGATGACTACCCATATTTCTAGTGATTATTGGTGCTATAATTGGAAAAAAAAAATCAAGGTCGTTGATGAGCCAACATGTAATCGCTACATGCATTTTGAAGGATTATTTGAAGAGGAGGAGTAATCATTACACATGGTCAAGGCAACAGGCAATGGTAAATTGAGGATTCTCAAGTTTGCTTCATGAGTGAAGGCGTACCTGATCATAAAAAGGGGGGAAATCAGCCAACTCCTCAAAATGTGGTTAATTTTGGAACGGTAGACTAGTGGGGCAATGTCATTATGAATTATAGTACATCAAGCGGTTGAATTGCTTTTGGTTGAGGTTGAGGAGTTTAATTGCGGATAGACATTAAGAGAAAGAGCAGCTGATGACTTCTGACATTACAGAACACAAGTAGGGTGAAATCTATTCAGGTAATTTAAATTAAATCACAACATGTCAAGTTCAGCATATTCATCATCTTGACAAGAAAGAAGTATCATTTCCTTCTACCATTAAAAAGGCAAAAATTAAAGTGATCATAAGGAATGTTTAATAGTTTGGAAACACCCTATGAATTTTTTAAAATAATAAAAATTTTATATTATTATTCTAAGTTGTGAGTGATCAAAATTATTACATCCAACAGGTGCATATATGTTGAGTTCGCACAAATCCAAACAGGCTCCAAAGAGAATAAAATCACCATCTGTTTCTTTGTCCCCACTATTTTATTGTCTTCAGTTCTCAATATAAGAGCTATTTAATTAATTTAGATAGATTAAGAAAAATAAAATATATTAGTTAATTGTAACAAATGTAATTTGACGTCCTTAAAATACTCAAATGTAATGTTGGATTATGTATCAGTTTATGCATCATATAAATTAGTTAGGAAAAATAAATAAATGTGAAAGATGGATAGATTGATATATTATATTGAAAACCAAATTTAATCCTTAACTAACTCTTATATATTAAAACTTGACAGAGTATTAAACATCTTAAAGACTTAAACCACACAAGCAGGGAGGGAAAACGGTTATAAATAAATATACAACGTGTGAAGAGCTTGTGAGCTGTGGGAGCAAGCTGCAAAAGTAACAAGCTATTGCCACTACAGGTCCACATGGAGCAAGCAACAACTGGTAAAAGCAATAAGTATGTTTTGTTTCTTTGGATGAAATGTGTATTTTAATTCCTCAAACCGCAAGCATTGGTGATTACAGTGATGAGGAGAAGGAGAGAGGTAGAAGATTTAGATATGGGTATTGTGTTTATGTCTCTCTCTCTCTCTCTCTATATATATATCACGGTAGAATGACATAGTACTCCTCCGATCCTTAATATAAAACCTATTCAATTAATTTGATTAGATTAAATAAGTTAGGTTAGTTAGTTAATTATAAAAAATATGACATGTTTTTTCTAAAATACTATACTTATCTTTCTTAATATCATTTCTTCTTTTTCTACTTGCTTATGGTTGAGGAAGTATACATAGGGTAAGTTAGAAAAATTTGAAAAATATGATAAATAGGTCTTATATTTTAGGACCAAAATTAACTCAACAATTGAATCCTATATTAGGGATCAGAAGAGTATTTGTTTAGATATGGAACACTTTATGATTATTTATTACTCGTTTGGTTTTATGCATTGCATTTGGATTCCCTGTAATCCAGATACAGTGCCTTCTTTCAAGTGTTTGGTTGGTTTATTTAGGTAATTCTGATGCATTGAGATTACATCATATAAGTTAATAGGGATTACACTACTAAAAGTGAAGAATAAGGATTACAACATGTGGGATCAATAAAAAGACATTATTTGCCCCTCCCTTCTTCATTATCTTCCTCCAACCCACTTGTTGCCAACATTCCTTCGTCGGCGAACTTTCCTCCTCCTCCTCCCCACTGACGACCTCTCCATACTCCAGCAACCCGTCCTCCTCCTTCCCCATCGATGACCTTTCCATGCACCAGTGACCCACTGATGACCTTTCCATATGACAACCTACTCTTCCTCCTCCTTCCCCCATTGATGAATTGGGCACCTCATCGTTCTTCAATTCCCCATTTTGGTGAAGTACATGTTGATAATCACTTGATTTATAAGTTGATAACCACAAAATCATGAACTTATAAGAACCATAAAATCTATTTGAAGCTTTAAAAAAAAAGGAAAAAGAAGAACCATAAAATCTATCATTGACAAAACTTTTAGCAATCAAAAGAGCAATAGGAAGCTACATATTAAGAGGTAAACATCTTTCTCTGCTTATAAAAATCAATTTGGCTCTATTTTTTACCAACGTTCCAGAAATTGAAAGTGCAAATAGCTGAAAACTCAAATGAAAAAACTGATTAAGAAATATGAGCCAAGATTGGCACATAAACTCCATTATTTGCTTAAGCTGAAGCAGCAGACTTGGCGAAGGAGGAGAAGAATAAAAGGAACCTGACAGATTGCATACTGCGGTTCTATGAATGCGTGAAGGGAAATTGAAGAACGAACAAGGAAGGCATGCATGACTGCATTTTCTTTGCTAGCGTGGGATACTGGGATGAAGATGCCCGGTTCTTCCGTAGGTAAATGATTTTATTTAAATATAAATAATGAATTTAATTTTACCATTCTCAATGTTGTAGCAAACAACTTCTTTGTAATCATCATTGTATTACATTACATTCCTAGTCATTACATCCCATTACATTCCCACTTATTCTGTGAACCAAACGAGCACTTAATTATCCACGTTCAGATAAAAAATGGTGGCCTAAAAGAAGATATAAAAAACTATTTGCGTTGAAACTTTTTTTTTGGCCGAAACTTTTAAAACGTTATTAATTAAAAATAATTTACCAATATAATTCCGCCCTGATAAGTGCTTATTACTTCAGATCCTGGATTATCCCAAATAGACGGATGAATTATATTTTCGAGTATTATATCCGATCCGAAATAGAGATATGATTAATGTTTACTTTTTCTTTTTTGGTAAAAAATTAGCGCTTACTTTACAAAATCCCAGAAGACAGAGAAAGGAAAAGATGATGCCGATGGCTTTCTACATTTTCTCTCCATTGCAACTATGATAATGGCTTTCTCAGCAACCATAATTATTATTCCCATTATTATGCTTTCTAGTGTTTCAGTCACATGTTTTCATGTTATTACAATAATAATTTGAAAACCAACTGGTCTTATTCTTGAGATGTGTGTATTGTCCTCATTTTGCATGCTCAGGACATACATATATATATTGATCTGATTATGTCAAATTAATTAATTGACTTTTTGGTATTGAAGATTTCTCTGGGTAATGTCTCAAAAGAAAAAGATCTTTTGGTACCCTCCGACCCATTTTGTCAAACGAAGCTAATTAGGATATGGATACTCTTATATTAATAAGTGAAAAGAAAAACTAGAGTTATATGGTATACCAGATTGGAAGACAAGAGCCAATTAACACTCAACCAAGGATTTCATAGCTTACGATCACATATTACAGCTGATCGCAATATACGAGCATTACAAACAACTTCTGATGGAAGCTGTTTTTATTACCCACAATGGAGTATATATGACATCCACAAAGACGGACGCACTGGAGTTGGCGAAAGATAAGCTTGAAAGATGGCTACTGCTGGGTACCAAGATAAGCATCAATGTCTCTGACAACCTCAGCAGCCAAGTCCACAAGAGTGTGAGGATCAGGAATGTGACCTTTCAGCTTCTCATATTCCACAATGACATGCGCCAAACTCCCTTTATCCTTTGGAATTGCGTGCAAGGTAAAACTCAGGGCCTTGAAATCCTTGAGGATATCTCCCTCCACAACTCTAAAAGTCATCAGATTCTTGTCTGCATCTATGGCTTAAATCACCTCCTTAACCACACTGTTCTTCCCTTCTGCACAATTCACAAATACAACACAAGTTCGTTCTTGAATCAGCATCATGTTCAACATATATAAAACAGATTCAATTAAGTGAATTAACTGTGGGGTGGGACTGACAGAGAAAGAGAGAGAGGTGGTGGCGAAGTTGCGTACCATGGACGTAATGCCTGGTAATAACGGAACCGACTTGCCCCAACTTCCTTCAAGAATAGCATCTCTAATTCTAGCAGGAGAAACATTGGGAATATCGTGTGGCTTGCTGCTTAACATTTCGTGAAAATTGTCTGCAGAAGCATTAATGTGCACATCAACTCCCACCTTCCCCAATAACTGTTCTTCCTGTGCCTGTCCCTGGGTGAGACTTGCATCAATTTCTCTGCTCAGTTCTGTCGCCAACTGCATTACAGTGTGTGGATCTGGGATTCTCCCATGCAACTTCCCATACTCAAGAGTCCAGTGAGCCACACTTCCTTTTGCCTTTGGGCTCACTTGAATTATGAACTTAAAGCTCTTGTAATGCTTCAGAAGATCTCCCTCCATCACCCTGAAAATTATCAGGTTCTTTGCTGAATCCACAGCTTCGATCACATCCTTCGCCACCCCCTCCTTCCCATCTGTTATATCAGAGGATTACAGTGGTCAGTAAGTGATAAGAATAAGTAACAGAAATTCTTCAGTCATTTATTTTTATCAGCTTCACACAGACACACACAAAGAAGTGCGTAAATATATATAGTATCTCTCTAAATAACAGTTTGAGCTTACCAAGAACGTAATTCCAGACAACGACGGAGCCGGCTTTTGCGAAATCACCTTCAAGCTTAGTCACAGACTTGATTTTAGCAGGACTAATGTTGGCGATGTGATGAGGATTGCTGGTGAACATTTCATGAAACTTCTGGGCAGAGGCATTGAGGTGGACGTCTATTTCCGTCTTCCCAAGATGAGACATCTTAATTCTCTTTTGATAGAAACCAGAAAGATGTATAATACGAAGCCTATTGCATGCACAACGAAGAAGGCTTTAGCCCTAACCCTTTTATATAGGAATTTTGCGGTGCTTTGAAGCCCCACGACCTGCTTCGCAATGTATTCCAAATCATTTTTTTTTTATTACTTCAATAGGCGATTTGCATCAATTTTAATTAGGCGCTCGATTAATATGAAATATTTGAATGCTTTTTTATATAAAATAACAGGTTAATTGCAATGAATTGGGGCTGTTAAAAAGGTCAAATTTTCAATAAAAATTAAAATTATTTTTTTCCTAATAAGCTGCTGATTGAAATGTGATAAGCGGTTTCACCCAGTAAGGAAAAGAATACAAGTTCGAATCCTAAAAAACATACTTGTTGAGAGGACTTTAACCTTAACACTCTCAACCTGACAGAAATTAATCCCAAGCTTAAAGTGAATTGAGTATACTGTGACTTATATAAAAATAAAAAATAAAAAAAAGGACCGGAGACCCGTACGCCTGCCAGATTATTACAGCTATAATTTTGTATAGTTTTCTTTTCTTTTGTTTAAGAGGGCCATAATTTTGTGTGGTTGTTATCAACATATGAATTATTGTACTACATCAAGAAGTTGAGGCCTCTATTGCTGAAAGATTATGACTATTATTTTCTTTAAATTTTAAAATTAAATAGTTTTACATATTTAAAAATAAAAAAATCAATTATAAAAACAAATCGAAGTTGAAATTTGTATATTAAAACTTTTGTGAATCGTCGTCTAAACTTTTATTTATTTATTTTTTTTCTTTTGTCAATGTATGCTTATCTTTATGTACCTTTCTAAACATGTACCTCTCTAATCCTATTTTTACAAGTTTTATATAGACCAAGAAAAACCGTAAATTACATTAACTTTTTATTAAAATATAATAACTTTTCAACTTTATAACTATTTAATATATACACATTTTTTAAAAAAAATCTACACTATAATAAATAAATAATAAAGTAGTACATTTATGCTTAAAATTTAATGAAATAACTTATAAATAAAATTAAGAAAAGACTTATCTCCATCTTATAAATAGGACAAGAGGAGTATATAATTTGCCGACTATTGATCTCCCGTTTTGTGTTTTGATTAATTATTTTGATTATTTATCATCACATTTATTGTCCTATCCTCACCAGCGATTTTTGGATGTTACATGTCTGCTTTTCCCTGTCTCTCTTTTTTATTTAATTTATTATTAAAAATAATTCTTGGTTTCATTATCGCTATAAATTTTCATGCAGGTATAATTTTGGCCTTATTATCCACATGTAATCATGTATCGATCATTTCATATACCGTGACGAGAAAATGGCTATAATTTTGAGACTTTGAGATCAAGGAATTATTATCTACCTGTTCCTCTCCATATTGGGGAAGTTGAAGTTAAAATGTGAATTTAAATTTTTCTCCGATTCAATAGTTCAATCGAGAATAATCTAAAGAAAATAATCCTCACAATATATTCAATTCACCTAATTTGTCTCAATTTTAATTTTCAGTCATTAATTTGACCTGAATTGTTACTTTATTTTTTAAATTATGAGAGTGCAATATTTATATCCTTCTTATTTGAATTAAAATACATATTTATAAAAATGAATTATTAAACTGTAATATTCATCCGAGGACTAAAATTTTTAAGTGAGACAAATTAAGAGAATTACAAATTAAGATGATTCAAACTTGTTAAAATATTCGGTCTTGGCTTGCTAGAGCAATGAAATCATGCAGGATTTATGCCCAACAAAAAGCTTGTTAAAAATTTTCACCAAAAAAAAAAAAGCTTGTTAAAATATTCAGTTAATTAATATCATCGGTCATTACGTACGGGTCTGTCTTGCCAACAAGATATGTACGGGTCTCTCATTCGATAATTTTTTTATATATATATTGAAATAAATGGAAGATTGTAAGGGTTAAATAATTATGTTTACTTTTTTTTTTTTGCCAACAATTATATTCACTTCACTTTACATACATTAGAAAATGATTTAACCGATCAAAGAATAGGAGAACTCGTGTTTCAGTTATAGGAGGTGAGGTGTACTTAAACACACACACACACACACACTCATGTTAAGACAAAAAAAATTCCATGTACTTATGTAAAGTATGGCAGAAGTATTCACATTGTTTTATAGTTTTTCGTCCATGCATGATGTTATATCCTGTAATTGCTGATTAATGTCAGTGGATTGTTATTTTTAAAAGTTTATATACATTACCCCAAAAACTTTGGTCGTAAAATCTCCTTCACCTTTAAGAACTTTAATGTTTAATTATTTGATTGTCAACCTTCTTATCCTTAAAGGCAGAGGTTTTTACCATGTCAAATTTTTTTTATATTTTTTATTATATATCATGTCATTTAAAAAATAACACTTGTCGTGTGACATGTAATTTGAAGTAATTTAAAATTTTTTATCTAAAAAAAGTTAAATAAATATTTTATATATTTTAAAGTAATTAAGTATTCTTTTTAAGTACTTAAAAAATTTAAAATTTCTTTTATAAACTGCAACTGCTATTTTTTAAATGACATGGCATAAAATATAAAATATAAAAGATTGACATGGCAAAAACCGTTAATTTTAACAGTAATTTTAATGGCAGAGTAATTAATAATCAAAATATGAAACATTATGCTTCTTAATTTCAACTTTTAAAGATGGGAAAAGTTTTATGGAAATGACTTAAAATTTAGGAAATTTTTATGTACTTCAGCCTATTTTAAATATTAATTGAACTTTTTTAAATTAATTTTTTTCAAAAATGATCACTATTACTATATTAATTAGATCCACTCCTTAGAGGATTTTTTTTTTTGGGAGGGACTTGTCAAGTTGAGGATGCTCCATCCAAATAGGCTAAACTACATATTTGTTCATTTAACTTTATACAAGATTTTATTTTAGTTCTTTAATTTTAAAAAGTATATTTCTAAATCATTTAATCTTAAAATAATTAGTCTTTTTCTTTTTTTTGTACTCTTAAATAATAATTTTTTATTAGAAAAAGTTATTTTGAAAATTAAACTTAATATAATAATATTTGAAAATGTTTTATTAACATTCAAGATTTTAATATCATTATTTTTTATTAACAGTTTTAAGATTAAACTAAATACATATATTTTAAAACCAAGAAACTAAATTAAAATTTTATGTAAAATTAAAAAATTAAAAGTATATTTTAGAGACCTCCACATGCTCTGTATTAAATGATGATGGAGAAATTTATGCCCGGATTTTTTTTTTTTAAATAAAAGACCTTCACCATAGCAAGTTTCCCCTATCATATCGGTATATCATACTGTCATCATAAATAAATGTTTTTTTTATTTTCCCTTTTAAGTATAACATTTTATTTCCTTTTGTCTCCTATATTAAGATTTTGTTTCCTTTCTTATTGACTCCATTTATTAAGGCATCTTTAATTCTGTATATTATACATTTTAATCACTAGATGGTGAGAGTATATTTTTTTAAAAAAATAGTATTACAAATTCTTTACTTACAAGTAAAATACTTACCCTTTCTTTCTTTTTTTTTTGTTTTTGGAATCTACCATTGCTTAAGTAAACTCTTTTTCCATAAAAGGAGTCAAATAACAATTACAAAGAAGAAGTCCAAGGGAAGTCATTTTAACAAACAAACCATGAATGAACAAGATAACTTAACAAAGAGAAAGGACAGACTAACAGCGGAATATCCTCCAAGATTGTTTGGTGCCCTGTTGGAACAACTTTGAATGGCTCGATCTGGATCTGCTTAATAAGGCAGTGGTTTTTACCGTAAATTTTTTTTTATATTTTTTATTACGTATCATGTCATTTAAAAAATAACACTTCCCATGTGGCATGTAATTTGAAGTAATTTAAAATTTTTTATCTAAAAAAGCTCAGTTAAATAAATATTTTAAATATTCTTATATTTAAATATTTTATATATTTTAAAGTAATTAAGCTTTTCTTTTTAAGTACTTAAAAAATATAAAATTTCTTTTCTAAACTGCAAGTGCTATTTTTTAAATGACATGGCATATAATAAAAAATATAAAAGGTTGACATGGTGAAAACCGTTAATTTTAACGGCAGAGAAATTAATAATTAAAATATAAAATATTGTGGTCCTTAATTTAAATTTTTAAAGATAAAGAAGGTTACATGTAACTTATTTAAAATTTAGGAAAGTTCTATGTATTTTAAACTATTTAAATATTAATTGAAATTTTCTTAATTAAATTTTTTTAAAAAAAGGATCAATATTACGGGATCAATTAGATCCACTCCTTAGAGGATTTTTTTTTTTTGGGAGGGACCTTGGTGAGTTCTCGAGAATGTTCTATAAGGTCTGTTTAGTATGAGGGAAAGAGAAGGAAAAGGAGGTGAGGGGAGAAAAAATTTTAATGAGCTTATTTTAAAAAATTAAAGAGTTGGGATTATAAAATTTTGGTGAAAAGAAAATGTAAGATACTCCTTCGGTTCTTAATATAACACCCATTTAGCTAATTTAATTAGATTAAGGAAGTTAGGTAAGTTAGTTAATTATAAGAAAAGTGAAATATTTTTCTCAAAATACCATAATCATATTTTTTTAATACCTCATCTCCCTCTTCTATTTGATTATAGTTGAAGGAGTATCCATAGGGATAATTTAGAGAAAATTAATAAATATGAGAAATGGGTCTTATATTTAAGACCAAAACCAATTCAAAAATTGAGTTCTATATTAAGGACCGGAGGAGTAAAAGAGTAAGAAAAATTAATTAGAAAATGTTAATCCTAATTCTTCAATTTTTTAAAATAAGCTCATTAAAATTTGTTCTCCCCTCCCCTCAATTTTCTCGTACCAAACGGACCTTAAATAGACTAAAATATATATTTGTTCTTTTAATTTTATATAAGATTTTATTTTAGTTTTTAATTTTAAAAATTATATTTTTAGTCTTTTATTTTTAAAATTATTAGTCTTTTTTTTGCATGATTAAATTTGTTAGTCTTAAATAATAATTTTTTATAACAAAATTTTTATTTTGAAAATTAGACATAATAAGATAAGATTTGATAATATTTTATCAACATTTAAAATCTTTTTAGAACCCTTGCATGCCCTGCATCAAATGATGATGGAGAAATTTATGCCCAGATTTTTTTTTATGACAACCGTCACCATAGCAAGTTTCTCCTGTCATATCAGCATATCACACCGTCATCACAACTAAATGTTTTTTTTTTAAGTATAGCATTTTATTTCTTTTTGTCTCTTGTATTAAGATTTTTTCCTTTTTTATTACCTCCATTTATTAAGGTGTCTTCAATTCTGTATATTATATATTTTAATCATTAGATGGTAAGAGTATATTCTTTTTTTAAAATGGTATTACAAATTCTTTTCTTACAAGTAAAATACTTGCCCTTTATTTTTTTTTTTTTATGTTCTTTTGGAATCTACCATTGCTTAAGCAAACCTTATATTTAAGATAGTAAGTATAGACTGAAAAAATACTTGTTCAGGTTAAAAAGAAAAGATTGAAAGAATAAAAATAATTTTTTTTCCATAAAAGGAATCAAATAACAATTACAAAGAATTCTAACGGAAGTCATTTTAACAAACAAATCATAAATTTGAATGAAGAGAAAGGGCAGACCAACCGTGAAATATCCTCCAAGATTTGCTTGGTGTCCTGCCGGAACAAATTTGAATGCCTTGATCTGTAACTGTTTAATAACTACTTATAAACACTTTTATGTCAGTCAAAACAAAATTTTTGTATATATTTATTTATATTTTATAAGTTATGATTAAAAAGTTACCTTTAAAAGCTCTAATTACCATTTGAAACAAATCCTTAATTACCGGTCGTAGCCAATGATTATTTCCAGAATCCATACCCATGTCTTTAATCATTAATAAGAGTTAAAAATCTCAAAACTAGACGAGAAATTCACCTAACATGTATATGTGTATATATTGATCTTGAGAGAAAGTCATGTAATTTTTTAAAAATAAGAGAAAAAAGTCTCCATAATTTAAATTAAATAGAGAGAAGGTCAGTATGTTATAATATTTAAATGCAGATATGTATGAACTATTTTTCGTCAAATTTTCTCTTAGAGAGAATTACAATGAAACTTCAAGAAAAGAAAATAATACCAACAATATTTTTTTATATTTGAGATTTCATTGCAACTCTCCATTTCTTTTATTCTAACCAAACGTCTATATATGGAGAGTATATTTCATGTATTTCAGTGATCATGGGGTGATCAGGCCCCACTATCAAGATATCTTTGCCGATGGGATAACATCCACAGTGTTTTTACTAAAATTACAAATTTTTAATCAAACCTAACTTAAAAATTATGTATTTCCCCCTAAATTTGGAGCCTTCATTATGATTCCAGTCGTCTCATATGATCACTATCAAGCCACGCATCATAAATTCTCCCTTATCTTCATCTTCCTCCTGCAGATTGGTCCAATTTTAATTTAGGTAAAATTAAATTGTAATTATTCTTTTTATTTCGCTCTTGAGATAGAGATCATAAGGGTGCAAAATTATATTAGAACCACTCACTTCTAGAAAATAAAAATTATATATATATTTTTCTCTGATGCAATATGTTGACTAGTGGATTAGTGTGGTTCCTGTCAGAGCAACTAACTCAATTCTGATATTTGATTCACAATCGCTTATCACAATCCACGTACCTCTTCATATTTGATGTCCACGTGAAAGCACGTGAGTTGGTGACTACTTAGGGTATGTTTGGATTGGCGTTGGGCAAAACTGACTTCTAGCTCAACTGACTTTTGTAACTGAAGTTAGAGTAAAAGTCAGTTAGAGTATGTTTGGATAGGTGCTTTTGAAAAGTCAGTTGAAAAAGCTGAAAGTTGTTTGGATGATGAATGAAAAAGTTAGTTTAGGTGTAAAATGACTAAAAAGGGCATGGATTTTATTGAATAGTAGTTTTTAAAATTTTATGTTTTTAATTTGATAATAGTTTTAAAAAAAGTATAAAATTATTATGATAAAACATAAATAGTTTATTTGTGAAATTATGAAATAAAAATATTTATTACGGAGAAAAAAATTAAAAACACATCATAGATAATTAATGAAGTATACATAATGGACAAACATGAATATAAATTAAAATTCATTTGGTCTCTAATTAAAGTAAATGAAATCACATAACTAATTAGATAGTAAGCTTTGCACAATTTGGTCCCTAATTGAGTCACGAACACGATTCATTTGTGCGGCAGATGTTAAACTTGACGAGGATGCCTCACCAGCTGCATGATTATTGTCTTCATCTATTACACTTCCATGTTCAGCTTCTACAAAGTGATCATCAGTTGGAGAATTTTGCCTGATAAAATTATGGACAGCCATTGTTGCACAAACTATGCAGACCTGTGTTTGAAACTTGAATCTGGGCATATTTTTTAAGATTACAAACCTTTTCTTCCACACCCCAAAAGTTCTTTCAATAGCGGATCTCAAACTTGAATGATAATAATTGAAGGCCTCATTCTGATTTGTAAATCCTGGGTGACGATTAAAGTCTGGGAGATGATAGCGTTCACGTCTGTATGGGCCAAGGTATCCCATTTGTGATGGATAACCAGCATCAACCAAATAATATTTTCCTAAAAAATCATGACTCAAGTATGTTAAGGTGAAAATAATACAAGTGAAGCTGAGTTTAAAAATAATTAATTTGAAAATTAAAGAAATATACCTTCAGGTGGATGAGGGAAATTCATGGATGGAGTTGAGATAGCAGAATGAAAGACACGAGCATCATGTGCACTACCTTCCCAGCCCGCCAACACGAATGTGAAGCACATATTCCAATCACATACGGCCATGACATTTTGACTAGGAAATCCCTTCCTATTGATATATTTGTCTTGCCTAGCTTGACTAACCGTACAATGTATGTGGGTACCATCAATTGCTCCGATTGCATCCCTAAAAAATGGAAAGTATCGTGGATCATTTGCTATTTTTGGGTGACAATAGGAAAATGTAGGATCAGTTGGCCTGATATTTTCTCGAGATAAATTGAGGCAAGCAGCCAACACTCTATGAAAATGCCGACTGACAGTTTCTCCTGAACGCTGAAACCTTTCCTGAATCATCCTATTACACTGACCATGCGCAATTGTATTCAAGAACATGGCAACAGATTCATGGACACCTATGTACTTAGTATTTTGTAACCCATGTTCAACCAATTTAGAACATAACTGATGAAATGTCTCTATGTCCATTCGAAACATATCCTTAGACCGTCCTTCATGCCCGTCTAAAAGTTCTTGAACCCACAAATAACCAGTCTGTTCACTAGTTCTACATGGCTGTTTGCACAGAAAAGGTGTCACATACTGACCCATTAACACACTTAGCTCTGATAATTGTGTTGTCTGTTCATGTAAAGCGGGAACTAATTGAGACAATTCATCTCCCCAATCATCCTCCCAACCCTCGCCCCAACCCTCCGTTGAATCAGACATAATAAATGTGTGTTACCTGTGAATAGATAAATACTAAAGGTAAGTAAAAATTTTCACAAAAAAGAAAAGAAAAGAAAAGATAATACACAAATTATCATTAAACTTTAACATAATAATTAAACATAGTCATGAAACATACAATATTAAACTTAGTCATTAAACATAGTCACGAAACACATAACATTAAACCTAGTCATTAAATACATCGTCATAACACATAATACATAATACAACATTAAGGTAGAAAAACAGAAGTCATAACAAGTCCCCTGGCACAACTCAAGGATTCTTAGGTGCAGCATACGGCGGTGGATTTTCAGCATTGTGCTTCAACCAAGCCACTAATACCTTCCGATTTTCTCTCAGACCAGCATATATGTCCCTGAAAGTCTTGTTTGCCAGCAGATTACAACACATGACACAAAGATGAGTGTCATTGACAATTTCCTCCATACTCAACAAATCAGCAGTCAGCTCAGTAGTGTTATCACTATTGGAGATTTTGTTTATTGCCGCTGCTGTACTAATGGAAGCCTTCTCAATCGAGCTTACTGCATCTGCTATTCTTTTTGTCGCTGGCATTTTTTGCTTCTTGTATTTATCCAACCCTCCACCTCTCTTCCTCTTTCCTTGGCTCCCTGAACCACTAGGTATATTGGGTGCAGTGTTTGATGTGTTTGCAGTTAAATTTATACCGTCCAAATCATCCGAAACTCCTGCACGGCGTCCAGTGTCAACACCTATCAGCCCGTCTTCACTGTCCCCTGAACCTTCTTCCCAATCCATTGTGGGTCGGTAATCATTTGGCTGATCAGCCCTCTGTGGCTCAGGCTGGGTCGAAGAAGGTGACCACATATCCTGTCCTGATGCCATAGTGCCCTTGAATATAGTTTCCAATTCAGTCCGGAACTTTAACCCATGCTGCCTAAACTTTTCGTATGCTGGATTTTCCTGCAAAGCCAAAAGTAAACAAAAGTTAAATTATTTTCAAAAGTCATTAACTGCTTAAAAATTAACAGAAGCTAGTTCATACCCGCTTCTTTCTCTCCCACCACTCATCAGATGCCACCACTGTGTTCCTTTCAGGGTCCCACCCTATACCGGTCTCCTTACCAATTAGCTGCTCAAATGCCTTCCACTCTTTTCTTAAGTTATCCAACCTATTTTTCAGTTGTCTTTTCTCATATCCTCTCCCTGTCTTTTCATTGAATGTTTTGTGAATGATGTCCCAGCCTTGCTTTGTAAACGAGGATCCTTGACGATGTTTGCTATAAATTGTGTCCACGCATATTTTGAGAAAAACACCAGTAGTGCTTACATCCCAATGCGCTTTGCCTCTATCGTTACTCATTGTTCTTGATGAAATTAAAAATGTATCAAATCCACAATAAGTTTAGAATCAAGCAGTAACACACAGGAATAAACCCACAATTAACAGTGCCTAAACTTTCTGTTTAGAAGCAATCAATCAATACATTTTTAAAGTAATAATGTTTATATATCTTATCCACTTTATTCACCATAGGGCAACCTAACCACATCCCTCTTCACCAAGATCACAAAATTCTAAATGAAACCCCTAAATAATAAGTCTCACATATTCTTAAGAATGATATTTTGAAAATAACAGAATTTACAACATGCTAAAACAAATTAGAAAAAAAAAACTATTTTATATTCTGAAAAAGGAAACCAAATTCGATGTTAAACCCCGGTCACAAATATGACATTCAACATTGAATTATATTCCTACAATGGCTCCTAACAGCACAAACAACACAGGCAAACGTAGAGAAGCAGTAGCACCGAGTCATTGTACGTGAAGCAAATTCATCACAGATGGCAAATTCATCACATTCAAGGTTAATCAAAAATGGGCAAATTCATCAGATACTACAAGAGAATTAAAACCACAAACCAATGTCAGAGGAGCAGACAAGTTCGACGCAGACGCAGGGTGAAGCTAAACGGACAGAAGCAGTAGCAATCGAAAGGCACAAAACTTCCCTCTGCTTTCACAGTGTATCTAAACGAAAAGGAGAACAACAATCAGAACTCAAACATAATTGGAGCTGCGAATTGGAACAACAATCAGTCCAGCTCAAATATATATATGTATATATGCATCAGACACGGTGACCTTACTTGCGAATCGGAGCTGCGAATTGGAGCTGCGAGTTGAAGACCTTCAACCAGCCCCAAGCAGAAGAGAGTGACGGAGGGAGAAGTGCCGACTTCAATGGACACGGTAAATCGAGTGGAGCAGAACAGAGTTGAAGACTTGCGTCTGAGTTGAGGCAGCCACGGTAAATCGACTAGCAGAAATCAAATGGAGCAGAGATGGCTGGATCTACGGGAAGCACGGTGAAGCTCAACAGATCCGGTGAAACTAAAAAACTGAGGATGAAATGAAGATCTGGGAGAAGACCACACCGATCTGCAGCAAATCGACTCCGGCGAATCTCTGGCACATCCAACAGCAAACGAAATTGCGAGCTCGGTCGAACAACCGGAGGACCACCTGAAATGGAAGAAGAACACGGGAGAGCGTGAGAGAGAAGAGCAGGGGAGAACGCTCGGCCGTGTGGGAGAAAATGGAGAGACTGAAGGAGGGAGAATCACCGGTGACAGTCACGGACGGAGAAGCGCCGGCGAGAGGGACGGAGGGAGAGCAGCCGGTCACGGTGAAGATGAAAGCCTGGGGGTGAGCTCTACGGACGGAGGGAGTGACCTGAAATGGAAATGAAGGTGGGTTCGGCCGTTCGGGGGAGGGGAAATGGAGTGAGGGTTAATACTGGTAGGTCATATTTTTCAGATGCAATTAATGCTCCATAACGGTATATCTCAGTTTCAAACTCTCCAAAAGTAACTCCCAGCTGCGTTGGAAACGTTTACCATTTGGTTCAGAAGCTGGTTGCGTTAATTGTCCCAGCCAAACAATCATTTTGGCTCAATTCAGATGCAAACCTCCGTTTCACAATTTCCTAGGGCCGTTTAGCGTTTCAGACGGTAATCCAAACGAAGCCTTAACCTTCCATGCAAATTTGGATCTGTCACATAGTCATCTACTCCGCCAATGGCTTTGTTTGTTTCTCTGGTAATGCTACAAAAAGCATGTGTCCTGGAGTCTTTGGGAAAATGGAGATTCGGGGATGAAGCAAACTTAAAAACACACACCTCTTTAGAACTACTTTATCCGGAGTATTCATGCATCAACATGTTTATGTTCTAAATGTGCAAATTAAAGCCTGAAGTACACACAAATTTCATGGCCACTTCTTCACCTTCTTGTGGAAGATGCCTGGACCATAAGTAGAAGAAATTATTTCAACAAGAAGAGGGAACTGTAATAAAACAAAGAGACTCAATGGCACGCTGGCAACCATAATAACAGGGAGAAAAACCCATGAAGGTGATGAGTTATGTTGCCACATGATGATTATTGTTGCGGAAAAGGCTATCAGCATAGTTGCAATTGAGAGAAAAAGGGTAGAAAGGCCTATGATCAGTTTTGTAGGTAAGGAGTAAAGGAAGTCTTCTTCTGCATAGCGTGACGTGAGGATTCCTAAAAATGTAAGCACAGAAGTAGTAGAAGCAAACAAGGACACTGCATCTGAAATTAAAAAAACTTTGAACAACTTTTCCTTCAGAAATATTGGATACCCAGATGCTTGATCGTTTCCACCCGGAACAGTAAAAGCTGTGGCAAACACAATCGTAACGATTAAAGCACCAACAACTGAGCAAGAAGATGCAGTATCTTTCATCCATTTCTCTCCTTCATTCCTGAGTTCTTTGTGATTCTTTTTAAAATAGTCCAGAGGGGTCAACCCTTCTTTATTTAGACGAAGCTCAATTCCAAGATTCACCACACTCTCTACTGCCTATAATTCAAAAAAAAAAAAAATAGAAAGAAGAAAATTTTTGATAAATTGTATAGTAAAATATTTGTTACACCTGAGTTAATGCAATTATTCCCTCATTTCTTGTTGAATTTAATCTCTCATCTGCTAACCATTAGGTCCAAGTAGGTGGGAACTGCATGATTTAATGATTTTCATTTATATATTAATCTCCCTCACACAACAGGCACACAAAAGCATCTAATTTAACTTCTAACCTTGAACCACTGCCATTCCCTTTGCATTTTTAGAGCAGCACCAGGGATGCGGTTAAGTTGGGAAGCAGGAGCCAACTTGGCTGCCGTGTGCAGCAAGTTGTCGTGATTCTCATTGAACATTGCTGCTACCACATTCCTAAAGTGAAACCCACGAAGAAGGTTGAAAACCTCAGCTTGACGATATTCAACAGCATTGAAGAAAGCATGCCCCTTTCGTTGAGAAAAAGTGACCATTGAGATTAATTCTGGGTTTGCCGTTGATACCCTAAACAAAAACTCAACATTTCCTAATTTAGCCGCCGTCAACAGTGCTTTGGCAATCATAGGCCTTTTATCCTCACTTAGAAACGTTAGATTCTTACAAACCAGGTTTAGTATTTCAGTTGCTCGTGAATGTTGCAACTTCCGCTTATGTATTTCCTTCATTCCTGGACAATTGGTAACTCAAATATAACTCAATATTAGTCAAGCTTAATCATGAGAACAAAAATCTTAAAAGCAACTCATTTAAGTTTTTGGGAATTTCTGAGCTACATACCAAACAAATTATAAAGGAGGGATGTGATCAACCATAGTACATTTAGTCCTATTGAGATGGAATTTTGTCAGCCAAATCATTCAAAAGGATTACAGACACGTGTATGCAAAGGTCTATCTTTTTTTTTTTTTTTTTTTTTTTTGCATTGCACAACAGTTAGGTTCAACTTAAATGTGAGCAATTAGCATCTTATGCACAAGATATGATTTTTATTTTCAAATTTCATATTTTGACATGCCTGATTTTCATGTATGATTAATAAAATAAAATTTTCTTTACATCTTTTGATATATATGTTCTGTTAGATTTGCAATATTATTTGATTTTGTCTTCCAATCAACTAATAGAGAGTATTATATTATTGTACCTTCGGCTTTGTTACTAATCTTGTCTTCTTGTTGCATGTCTACACAGAAATGATTAGCTGTCATGGTTGATGGTATTTTGATATCTTCCACCCATGAAGTGATCAAAGAAATGGAGAAACATTAGCTTCTTCAAATAATGAAAGTGATAAAATTAATAACTAGAAGGACAAGTAAATTGTGTGAAGCCATTCGAATTTTCTGAAGCTATCATGCACAAACAAATAAGTCTCAAATATATAGATTTCATGAGACATGTATCAAGGCTTGTCAGCGTCTGGCTTAGCTAGAATAAGATTCAGCCGAGGATATAAAAATAAAAAATAGGTGAGAGAAATCTCAGCTAATAATACTGAAGGGAATGGCTTACTAATGCTGACGTTTGGCTACTGGAGAGAAAAGGTGAGATGGATATGGTTATTTGAAACAAGTATGCTCAAGCAAATATTGATGTAATGAGACTTTGTCTAGATACTTTAGGCAGAGATAATCGACTGATTTTTTCTTTTTGGATTTGCCAGACATTCGGTCTGTCATGGCAGCTTTCTTTTGTAGTAGTTGAAAAGATATGTTTGTAGGTACGGCTGCTTTGTTTTCAGGATTTCATGATAGATCAAGGAATCTCCGTTTCTCGACAAGCTTATGTTCAAGAGCTTTTGAGATGTTTTAAAATGCAAAGCTGCAGGCCTAAGGATACTCCTTTAGTAGTTAATAAAACATTATCTGAATGTGATGAAGAAGATATGGAGGCTGATGCACCGAGGCATAAGTGTTGTTCAGAGCTTGCTTTGCTTGATTCCAACAAGGCCTGATGTGATGTTTGCAGCATATTTATCATCAATATTCATGCAACAACCAAGTGAGGTGCATTATGCAGCTGGTAAAAGGGTGCTAAGGTATCTAAAAGGCACATCAGAGTTAGACCTATTACAGATTCCAACTTAACTGGATATGTGGATAGTGATTGGGCTGGAAGCTTAGATGATGGAAAGAGTACATCAGGTTATACGTTTTCTCTTGGTTTCTGCAGAAGTTGAATATGCAAACCAAGCAATTTGGTTAAGAAAGATGTTGACATATTTGGGTCTGGAGCGAGCTGAAACTCCTAAAGTATTTTGTGATAGCAGATCAGCTATGGCAAGAAATCCTGTGCAGCATGGGAATGCCAAACACATGAAGGTCAAATTTTATTTTCTCAGAAATGCTGAAAGGGAATAGGAAATATGTCTTCTGCATTGCAGTTCCACGAGCAAGTTGGAGGCATAATCACTAAATCTTTGCCTAAAGACAGATTTCAGGAGCTTAGAAGGAAGCTTAAGAGTCTTTAGACAAAGTCTCAAGGAGGAGTGTTGATGCAATGAGACTACCTTCGGCAAATGTATTCTACTGATTTTTTGTTTTAGCTTTGCAAGACCTTTTGGTTTCTTTTGCAGTAGCTGAAAAGATTTTACAAGATTGTTTACCCCCATTGTCATGTCATATCAGTCTAAGATATGTTTTTAGACCTGGATAGTATTTTGAAAAAGCTGATACATTAGCCAGCTATTGTTAATGAAATGTTCGTTCTCTCACTTTTTTTAGTTCAGTTCCAAGCTCTTCTCTTTACAGAATATACCATGATGAAAACGAAATTATACGAGTGATAGTTCAAACAACTTGAGCTTCAATACCATTACTCTCATCATCATAATTCAGTACTTTGGCTTGTATATAACTGAAAAGAGCATGCAGAAAATTGTAGGGATAAAAAGAAAAAAACAGACATTTAAAAGAGTGACATGCACTAACAGTAATAAACCCATTGCTTCCAGAAGCGAAGTTGACTTTTGTTGAGAGAATCAGAAAGATAGAATGCAATGTTCTCAATTGTTGAGTATCCAAAATCGGCAGCAAAAATCAGCTCTTCACATCGTTGAAGCAAATCCAAGGCAACATCTATTCATATATCATAATCACTTAGCATGTAAGATGGAATATCAGAATAACAACATGAACCCGCATAGGGAAAAGAATGAAAATGAAACATATACATAGTGATTTGTTGACATATTGTAAGTTGTATTACCAAGATCTCCAGTGACGAAACAGCCTCTGAGAAACGAAGGACCCAAAGGGCCATTTTCTGATTTGAAGACTTGCAAAGGAGTGACAGAATAGAGATAACGTCCCATTTCATAGAGGCCAACACGAAAAGCCAATGTAACGGGAATCAATTTAAGCTGTCCATTTGGAATAGAAAGTGCATTGCTATTTCTATCAACCAAGCATTTCGCTATTGGAACGATTCCCCTGTGTGATGCAGCAATTCCAAGTGGAGTATAGCCATGCGCATCAAGTTTTTGAAGGTGTTCTGGTGGAACTAATCTAACCAATTCCTCTACAATGCTCAAATGCCCAAACTTTACAGCCACATGGAGAGGTGTTTCGCCTGTTGAAGCCTCAAGTTCTTGGTTCAAGGCCCTAGGATGGTGATCAATGAATTCTTTCGCAGCAGGCCAATTGTTCTCAGATATAGCCTTGTACAAGTTAGCCAAATCAAAACCTATTGCCTCTGTCATCACTGTAAGACACAAATACCCACACGGATTGTATAATTAAGACGAAGAATGTGTGTGTGCGTGTAGAGAGAGAGAGAGAGAGATTAGCTAAGTTAACCACTTTCTATTAGCTAATTACTCTATTAACCCATTCAAACCAATCTCTGTTCCGTTTTCGTCTTTCGGAACCTATCTCGTTAAAATTGGGGAGCTCTGAGTTACGTAACTCGACCTACACTCTGTATAGTGCCTGTGGGTTTGAAATTTGTAGCTAGCAATTTATTGATGGACAGTATTTTGTTGGAAGGAGCAGAGATTAGACATACGTACCAATAGAATTTGCTTTTTCCAGCTGACTGAATTGAAACTCTGAAACCGTAAAGGGCTCAGCCTTCCTTAGCAGCTCGTGATTATATATTACTTGCTCATAGGTATTATTGTTCCCTTCTCATTCATTTGGGTTGACCTTGTTTATTCCGTGTTGGCGGGCGTAGATTGAGATATTTCGTCTTCTCTACTTGCTGCTAGTTTCTCTGTATTTCACTTTCTCTCGCCAGGTGCCGCTCTACCCAAAGAAAAAAGTGATAACTATTCCTCTAATTTTAAATATTAGAATTAGTTGAGGTTATTTTTAGAATTAAAGGTAAAATTTTTATTCTTTCATATTCTTCAGATTTTCAAATGTGAGGGGATTTGAGTTAAAGTGGACATCAGATAAAATTATTGAATAATATATGTAATAAAAGTAAAGTGAAAGACGCATAAATATTAGAATATTAAGATTTACGGTGGTTCCACTTCATTAACACCTTTTTTTGCCACAAAACAAACAAAAAAGAAAAGAACAAAAGAATGGGGAGTTATCATCCAAAGAAAAAAAATTTCTCCCTGCTTTTGATTACCCTACGCGGTTTCTGGGATTCCAAAACGACATGAAAAAAGTGAGCCCACCAAAATTAACATAAAGTGTAATATGTCAACAGGGCCATTAATGAATTTTTTTCTAGTTTACCCTTGCACATTATTATTACCGGTTAGAGGTGTTGATGAGCTGGATCGGGCAGGACATGACACTTGTTCATTGCTCAACCTGAAGAATGAGCTAGCTGCACCGACTCTACACAATAAAAAATCCTAAATACTTTGAGTAGGCTGGATAGAGTAGGCTTTCTTACTCAAGTAGTGACATTCTACTAATATTATGTGATAAAAATATCTAATTATATCTTATAAATACTATTGTGAATTTCAAATGCATTTATAATTTCACACCTTAAGATATTTCAAAATAAGCTTACATTTTTTGTCTTAAAAAAATAAAACATAATGTAAGTTAAAATCGGCACAATTGAATGTTTATCTCCTATATATTAAGGTTTTCCGTGTGTTTATGATGAATATATTTGTATTTGCCAAATAAACTATGATATATAGATCACATTGCATTTAAAAATATGTACTTAAAAATTACCTTATAAATATATGAATATAAAATATGAAAATTAATTAGTAAAATTGCATTTAAAAATATGTACTTAAAACTTACCTTATAAATTATGAAAATTAATTAGTAAAATTGTGGATTAAAACTACCTCTACTATTAACTCCTGAGGCTTTGGCGAGAAAATAATAAACATTCAATTGTGATTATCTTTACCTACAGTATGAAACTTGTAGCCCCAATGGCCCAACCTGAAGATTCGATCAATTAGGTTAAATTAATAAGTAATGATCAAATAATACACTCTAATGATTATTTGAAAAAAAAAAAAGAGCTATTAATTCATGGTAATGGTAGGCAAATAAATGAATAAAAATTTGATACTCCTCTAGTCTTTAATATAAGACCCATTTAACTAATTTGATTAGATTAAGGAAGTTAGGCAAGTTAATTAATTGTAAGAAATGTGACACGTTTTGCTTAAAATACCATAATCATCTTTCTTAATACCCCATCTTCCTCTTCTACTTGATTATGATTGAGGGAGCATCCATAAGGGTAATTTAGAGAAAATTGATAAATATGAGAAATGGGTTTTATATTTAGGACCAAAACCAACTCAACAATTGGATCCTATATTAAGGATTGGAGGAGTACTATGGAAGAGTGCAAGCAACAAAAAAGAACAATTCTTTTTGCCAAAATAAAAAGGGATAGTGGTTGAAAAATAATATTATAATATATATAATTATATATTTTTCTGGTAGGGCCAAATATGCTGGGCAATATACCTTGTCTGCTGCCTGACCTTGCCTGTGATAAGCCCAGCTCAAAAATACCAATTTTTGTTTGGGTCTCTTTTTATTAGACTGGGTTGGACATTTTTTCTGCCGGCATAATAGGCATCTGTGCCTCATGAACACTCATATTACTCATGTAAATAACTTTTCACTAGCTTCTCGATATTTCTTATAAGGGTAAGTTTGAAAACCTTTACATTTTTGGAACACATTTAGTGATATAATCACCATTTCTTGATCTGAGTGAATTAACTTGTTAACCTTTTGCAATATGGACAAGAGGGAGTATTATTTTAGCCATTTTTTAGATAAAACTGATCTACTATTAAAACCAAACCCATGGACCCTTTCTTACTGATTCTAGCTGTATAATTTCTTTCGTTTTATATATAATCGATTGTTATTACATAAAAGAATACATCTTATTATAATAAACAGACTCATTATTAGAAGGCAAGCTCCCTTGTAAGTGAAAATTCAAAAATTCAATCCTATTTCTAAATTTGATAATCATAAAGTGCACTTGATAGATATAGGAAAATTCACAAATTCAATCCTATTTATAAATTTGATAATCATAAAGTGCACTTGATAGATATAACAACCAAACAGAACCTACCCACTCAACCATGAATAATATCAAGTCTTCCATCACACATATATACAAGAACAGCAGCTAACATAATTGCAATACATAAGAACAAGCTCGTCGTCATCAAGCATTACAACTTCTGACTGAACCTGTTTTTACTCATATATAACTTATGATAATACGCACTTTATTAGGACTTTAATTAAGATTCAAATCCCATGATTTACCCACCATATGTTATCTCGATGGACAGGCTTAGAATAAGGGTGGGGACTAGAGGGCAAGATGAGAACCTATCTCTCTTGTAACATCAGCGACCAACTTTGTGAGAGTGTGAGGATCAGGAATGTGACCTTTCAGCTTCTCATATTCCATGGTGATGTGCACCAAACTCCCTTTATCCTTTGGAGCTGCCTGCAGTGTTATGTCCATGCTCTTGAAATCCTTCAGGATATCTCCCTCCACAACTCTCAAAGTGATTAAGTTCTTGCTCGCATCTACGGCATGGATCTTCTCCTTATCCACACAGTTTTTCCCCTCTGTTAATTCATCACAACACCAGTTCAGTATCATGTCCCAAGGGAAGCATATTAATTCTTTGATCTTGAACGGTAAAAATGAAAAGGAAAATGACGACTTGGCGCCTTATAAGAAGAATAAAGCAGAAATCACTATGATGTCCCAAAGAAAGAATATGATTATCAAAAGGTCCAAATGAGAAGTAAGCAGTATGGATCCTTGTTATCATATTTCCGACACTGAAACTTGTCATTCACTTGTTATGAGATTTTTTGGTAATTACATTCCTTCCTTAGAACTACATAATGATTTCCAAATAAATAACAACGAAGCACATCATCATTGACTCGGATTGGAAATAACTGCAACTCAGTTATAAATCATGAGCACTCAGTCAGAAGCAGCACTTCACTGTTCAAAGTGTCGTTTTCCCAGAAGAAAACCACACTACTACAAAAAATACATTTAACGGCGGTTAAAATAAGCTTTTTACGGCGGTTTTGAAACCGACGTCTATGCCATTGACGTAAAATGTAGAGGATTTCACGGCGGTTTAAGAATCGCCGTGCTATGTGACTTTTCATGGCAGTTATATAGATAATCGCCGTGAAAATTTTTTATTCCTTTAAGCTACATTTCACTCTATTGATCAGGAGGGAATGGGAGAACAAAGCCTCAAAGGAAGTCTCTCGCCAGTTAAAAGCATTCTGATGGAATAAATATAGATTCTTTCCTGCCATAGCGTCACTTAGCTTCACCTTAGGCTACCAGATCGAAGCAACTAAGATTTAATAAAGATAAAATCAAACACTCAGATCTGATAAAATCAAAGACTCAGATATGCTAAAAATCATATCTCTTTAAACTCAGATTAAGCATCTTATTTTTAAACAAAGAAAATAATCATATCAAACCACAAAAACTGTGAAATCCACAGAAAGAATGGAGGTGAAAAACTCACAATTATAAGAATGAAGAGGATGAGGCAATGGTGACGACAATAACAACAGCGACAGTGATGGAAGAACATGGCGGAAATGATAGAAGCAATGGATAAACGTCGAGAAATATAGGAGGAGGGAGAAAATCGAGTGAGGATGTGGTATGGGGGACTATGAGCTCTGACTCTGAAAAGTGAAAACTATCGCGCGATGGATTTTAAAATTCTGATAGACTTTTTACGGCAATTATTTAAAAAACTGCCGTTAAAAGTATTTTTTACGGCGGTTATTTAAAAAACCGCTGTTAAAAGTATTTCTTACGGCAGTTTTTTAATAACTGCCTTTAAAAGTCTGCCTATAATTACAGAAATGCCACCGTCACATTTTTTACAACGTTTTTTCTAATAACCGCCGTAAATTAGTGTCGTGAAAACTTTTTTTCATAGTAGTGCCAGGAGGAGTACTGAAGAGAAAGTGTACATACCTACCTTACTCTCTCTCTCTCTCTATACATATATACACACACATATGCATAAATAAGTAGTTGAGTACTTACCATGGACATAGTGCCAGGTAATGACAGAACCGAGTTTGCCCCAGTTTGCATCTGTAGCAGCATGTTGAACGTTGGCAGGAGAAATATTAGGAATGTGGTGTGGCTTGGAGGTCATCAATTCATGAAACTTGTCTGCAGAAGCATCAATGTGAACATCAACTTCCACCTTCCCAAGTAACTGTTCCTCATGATCGTCTTGTCCTTGTGTGAGGTGTGAATCAATGTCTCTGCTAACCTCAGATGCGAGCTGCAGCAGAGAATGAGGATCTGGGATTTGTCCCTGAAGCTTTTCGTACTCATAAGTCCAGTGGACCACACTTCCCTTTTCCTTTGGAATGGCTTGAATCGTGGCTTTGAAGCTCTTGAGATGTTCAAGTACATCGCCTTCTGTTATCTTCAAAGTGATTGAGTTCTTTGCTGGGTCTATGGCTTCAATCACAGTCTTGGCCACGCAGGTCTTCCCATCTACGTGCAGTCACAACTAATATCAGTCATTTGATCTGATAATATATATATATATATATATATCATATAGTGAAGCTTATTCAATCTCAAAAATAAACGAAAATCATCAATTAAAAAAAAAAACACCGTCGACATGATACTGATAAATTAAAATTTGGCTTACCAAGAACATAATTCCAGACAAGGACAGAGCCAACTTGTCCGAAATGACCTTGTTGCGTAGTCACAGCCTTGACTTTCCCAGGAGCAAGGTTGGCAATGTGATGAGGATTGCTGCTGAACATTTCATGAAACTTCTCAGCAGAAGCATTAAGATGAACATCTGCTTCAACCTTCCCGAATAAGTGAGCCATCTTTCTTTCTTTTCTGTTTGTGGTGAGCGATATGCACAACGAAGGCTGAAGCCCTAGCCCTTTATATAGCAAATTAGAGGTGGTTCGAAGGGTCCATATGTAATAAATATCAACGGTAAGTAGTCCCCATGACCTGCTTTGCAATGAATACTTTTCCGTCCTTTTCTTTACAAATGCAGTCTATTTTCCGTCCCCATGCTCATCACAATGACGAGCATAAAGTGCTAATTACAATTTAAACTATCCATATTGATTTTAAACGGTTCAGATTGAATTTAAATTTTTTATATATTTAAATCAAAGTTTTGTTTTAATAGATACAGAATTTAAAACAAATATAATATCATAACTAAAATATCTTTAAAAAATAAATTTATAGTTCAAAAAATTGTATATTAAAAATTTTAAATCTGACCCGTTCATCTTAAATCTTCCATGGTTTAGATTGCATTACAATGATAAGCGCATGATGCTCATCGATGTGATAAACATTGAATGAATACTCCACATATGGCATTGCCACATCTTAGGCGTCATTAATATCAACATGAATTATTGCATACAAGGTGGTTGAGCTCACGAGGTGTTCTGCTAGCATTTGACGATTAAAATCTTGAATAAAATTTTATCCTTTAATTTATTTGAATGGTTCAGGTTTATCTAAAACTTATTATTCATAGAAAAAATTGTTATAAGCACTTTAAGCTTATCAAATCTGAATCATTTAAATCTCATTTAAACAATTCAGATTTTAAATTTTTAAATAGAAAAAACATCTTTTAAAAAAATAGTAGTTAAGAGATTATCTTTACTCTATAGCATATACCTATTAAAATAATTATTTTAAATCAATAAAAATAAAAAATTAAATCTAAACTATCCACGAAATAATTCAAATTTGATGAGCTTAGAATGAGTACCAGAGCAGCTTAGAATGAGTATATACTATCCCTAGTCCTAATTATGAGACATCATTTATAGTAGACTATAAATGAGGTCTTCTAATTAGGACCAGAGGTAATATAATTTATTTTCAAATTCTATGCAGCATAGCTAGTAGATCATTATATCATTTAATTCCCCCCCCCCCACAATTTTGTTGAGCTATCATCAAAAGCACTCAATAATATAAAGAAAATTTAAACATAAAAGGGGGGGTTAATAATAGATGTACGTTGCTTTATACTATCTTCAATCTTTACTATAAAAACTAGTTGACTAATTTAAAGAAACTTAAAAAGTTTGTTAAGTTAATTATTTGTATTAAACTAGTGTTGTCTTTCATAAAATATCTTTGTTAATAATTTGTATTAGCGAGGACTACTATTTAATAAAATATTTAACATATACAACTACTGTAAAGACTATTTTGAAAAAAATAGATAAATATAAAAGATAAAATAGATAAGAGTTTTATATTTAGAATCAAATTAAAAATTAAACTAATTTTTATATTAAAAATTAGAAGTAATATATGAGTTCTCTCTAAAGAGATAAGTTAGCAATAAGAATGATCCCACTTGTCTTTTTTTTTTTTGGTAAAGGAAGGGGCCGAAGCCCAACAAAACACTCAATTATAAATCGTTCTCCTACTTTCTATACCTACAAGGTCAGCCTCAAGGACTTCCTGCATCTCTTCAGGTGGACTTGTCCAGATCACTTGATCCCACTTGTCTTTTGATGTGGTTCCACAATGCCTTCAACTTATCGACATTCACAAAAAACAGGAAAAAAAAAAAAGTAAGCCCAATGCACCTTCGCTTTATATTGGGTTTAGGTTTGTAATTTTGTTTTTTTTGTTTTTAAACACGGTCGTATACCTGAGTTAAATTTAAATATTATTGGGGGCATTAAAGATAGTTCTCTTAAAAACGTTTTCTCCATTCATATAAATTTAAACTCAAGGCCTCGTGTTTAAACAATTAAAACTCTTTTCACTAGGACCAACACATATTGGTTGCCAAAGTGAATTTTATTCTAATTGATGTTTGCAAACAAAAATTAGAATAAAAATTAATTAATATAATGTAATTTATATTTAAATGTGATTTTTTTTAAAAAAAATAGTTTCACGTTAACTTATTTATATGATATGTTTTATAAAAACTGAAATTAGAATAAAAAATAGTTTAAGCGTACGTTGGGCCACATTATTTATAATTTATAAATATCATTATTTTTATAAAATTTTACACACATGTTAACTTGTTGATTCATATTAAAGTAGAATATGGACAGAGTGTGTAAAAATAGTTTAAAATGAAAGGATTTATAAATATTGACATTAATGTCTACCCAACATGTATCTAGCTTCGTCAGGGTGTAGTTTTTCAGGACAATAATTCAAGTCACAAGAAATTAAACTAACAATGCAAAGGATATCACTCTCTCTGCTCCTCAAATATAAAAGCCAGCTAGTTGGGATATTTATTTTAGTTTTAAATATAATGTATTAATTCAAAAAAGAAATTAAAACCGAAGTACCTAGCTAATAATACATGTTACATTTCCATGAATTCGATGCTTGTATTTACAGCACAATTATATTTTTTTTATTATTTACATATATTATTTTATTAGAAGTAATTCTGTTCAAGGTGTGGTTGGATATTAAATATGGATACCTCTTCTTTTATATATAATTACAGTATATATATATATGGTGTCAAATAAAGTTCAGATTTTAATTTTATCACTTTCGATCGTTTTTATGATTCAGACACTCCTAAAAAAATAAAAATAAGAATAAGAAAAAATTAAAAAAAAAAAGGGGCCAGAGACAGACACTAGCTGGCCGAAAACTGCTTGAATGGGACCTACTCTTGAATCGAATTAGTGGAATGGGGGAAATTAATTGATCCACAGAAATGATTAGGGAACACTGGCTCCAAAGTCAGAACTACTGGTCAAAAACAAAAAATTCAGAACTACTAATATTATCTGCCATTCAATGTTTAGTTTTGCACGTGAAACATGTGACGTCGCCTATATTTGATTTGATTTGATTTGGAGATATGTTTTTTTTTTTTGGCAATTACAGTTTTGTTTGGAAAAACATTTATAAGCATTTTATAAACACGTTTTATATAAATCAAGATAAAATTTCTTTTATATACTTAACTTGTATTTTGTAAATTATGATTAAAATATTATTTATAAGCTACTCCAAATACGCACTATATTAGTATCAAGTAAGTTAGTTTTTAATTATAAAAACTAGTTTGTAGCATAAATTATACTATAAATTAACTCTCATACTTAAGATCAGAGGTAGTATTTGATTCCCATTTAAAGTGAGTTCAAAATTAATATTCAATCTTTTTTAGTTTTGAGTTTGGAGTAAAGTAGTCCTCCCCCCCCCCCCTTGCCATTTTATATCTTTTGTTAAACATGGATCATACCCTTATACAATATAAATCTAAAATATCGGGGGGAATTATTATAAAATGTTAAGAAAGGAATTTAATCATCTAAAATTCCCATAACATGCAACTGAAAAGTATGCCATGATAAATTTCAATATAGATGATGACAACAAATTTATACTGCTGAGTTATTATTAGAAATTTTTATAATTAAATTTATTTTTTGAGACCTCATGATAATTATTCCAATCCATTACCCAAAAAAATAAAAATTAAGAGCTTGTTTGGTTTCTTATTTTAAAAATAATTGTTTGTCTTTAAAAATAAAGGTCAAAAAACATGTTTGGTAACTTGTTTTTAGTTGATTGTTTTCAAAACACAGTAATATTTTTGTAAAAACTAAAAAATAAAGCAATTTTTAGGATTTTTTTTATTTTTATCTTTTGTATTTTTTAATTTTTTGTTTTAGAAAATTGGTCAAACCTTCTTCCTTTTTGCCTATATGATTTTTTTATATTCTTTGTTTTAAATATGATTTTTTTAAATAATTATTCAAACAAATTTTTTTCATTCTCAAAATTTTTTTAAAAATAATTTTATATAATTGTTTTAGGAACAAGAAAATAAAAGAACAAAACAAAGAGCCCTAAGATTTTGGAGACGAGCTAGGCTATTCCAATAAAGCCCAATACGTTGTCTTAAATCTTTTTGAGTTGTTTTGAGCCACACTTGATATTTATGATTAGATAAAGTGAGAAACTCAATTGGATATATAAATTGAGGTTTTAATTGTGGAACTAGATTGAGTTCAAACTTTAAGCGTTTATTTTCTAATAGATATATGAAGTGCTCTATCTCTTAACAAAAAAATATTGTAACAGTGAGTTGTAAAAAAATTACTGCCCTTGATCCTAATCCTAAATATGAGAGCTAGTTAGATATTAGATTTTATCCTAAATATAAAATTCTAATCCAATTTATTTATCAAATTTATAATGTTTTCTCCAAAATATAGGGTTCTACATCAAGGAATAGTTCAAATATATATAATTGTATAAGGTAATTGAGGGAAGTCAACACACATCGTTGCCAATAAATAATTTAGCTAATTTCCTTACCCTATGTTTGTTACACCTGAGTTAATGCAATTATTCCCTCATTTCTTGTTGAATTTAATCTCTCCTCTGCTAACCATTAGGTCCAAGTAGGTGGGAACTGCGTGATTTAATGATTTCATTTATATATTAATCTCCCCCACACAACACACACACGAAAGCATCTAATTTAACTTTTAACCTTGAACCACTGCCATTCCCTTTGCATTTTCAGAGCAGCACCAGGGATGCAGTTAAGTTGGGAAGCAGGAGCCAACTTAGCTGCCGTGTGCAGCAAGTTATCATGATTCTTAGTGAACATTGTTGCTACCACATTCCTAAAGTGAAACTCACAGAGAAGGTTGAAAACCTCAGCTTGACGACATTCAAAAGCATTGAAGAAAGCATGCCCTTTTTGTTGAGAAAAAGTGACCATTGAGATTAATTCTGGGTTTGCTGTTGATATCTTAAACAAAAACTCAACATTTCCTAATTTAGCCGCTGTGAATAGTGCTTTTGCAATCATAGACCTTTTATCTTCACTCAGAAATGTTAGATTCTT